GGTGGCGGTGGCAGGGATGCGACGAAGAATGTCTATGACCAACTAGTTGGTCGATCTGTGACCAATGTTGGTGGTGGGTTTGGATCGAGGACGGTGTGTTTTGGTGTATGTGACCAATTATATGGTTCTCTGTGACTTTAAAATTGAAATTACGTAACATGTGACATATAATTTTTTTGATTTGTGACCAATAAAATATTCCGTGACTTATAAAATTTTAGATGCTTTGACCTCGAATTAATCCGTGACCTACAAAATTTTTAATTGTGACTGATGAAAAAATTGTGACCTAAAATTTTAGATCTTTGACATCGAAATAAATCGTGACCTACAAAATTTTGATCTGTGACCGAAGAATAGTCGTTGGAGTAGTCGTCGGCGTAGTCGCCGAAGCAAAGGTGGAGGGGAGGTGAGGTGGCGCGGCGCGGATTAATTATATTATATTACAGTTAGATATTTAATTTAATACAATAATTGTGAAATATAATTAATTAATTCATGAAAAATCTAATTTTTGCAATTATAAACTTTGGGGCTGATTTTTTATTTTGGAATAGATAAAGTGAGTTGTGAATTTTTCCCTTTTTCCATCTTGAATAGCCCAATTGAGCACTATTTATAGATGAGTTGATACCGGGCCCGACGTCTTAATGAGCTTAAAAACTTTGTGATCCGAAATGATTAAGGAAGGTCATTTTCGCCATTCACTGACAGGTTTGAAATTTTAAACGCTCCCAACGGTCACACTTTCAACGTTCTTCTTCTCCCAACATTCAAAATAAACATTTCTCTCTCAGGTGAAAACATTTTCTTCTCTTTCAATCAGATATCGGACGCACAAATTTCTGTAACGAATTACATAACCATGAAGTTCAATTCTGAAGTCTCAGAGAACAGATTTCTGGGAAGCATCTCTGCTTCCGTTTCTCCGCTCAAGAGCTTATTTCCCAAATCAAGGCAGAGGATGAATTCAAACCACCGTTCAAGGCCCAAATTGAACAGTGAAAATATCGCACCGGTAAATCCAAACATCCAGATTAGTGACCCCCCTTTGTCAGCTTCAATTCCATTCCCAAAGAAATCATACGCTGAACCCAAAGTAAATCCCTATACGGAAGAATTTACCTCATCTGTTGTACAACAAAAATTACCTTCAGATCCAGATACAGCGGTCAAGGTATTTCAAAATTAATTTACATTAACAGTTTTATGAAATCCCATAGTTAATGTTATTAAATATTATATTCGTTAACCTAGTACTACTGAATGGGATAGATTTTGTGCTTGGGAGTATTTTTGATAGATTTTGGTAATTCAAATTTAATAATTCTATTCTGTTTTGGATTTTCAGATGGTGAATATTGTTTAATTTTAGTTTTTCTTTCGCCATTTTCTTAGGTTGTGTTAAGTGTATTTGATCATGGATATGTTTGTAGGTTGTATTGAGGATTAGGCCAGCTAATGGCCTTGGAAATGGAGATGGAATGGTTAAGAAAGTTTCTGAGGATTCAGTATCTGTTGGTGACAGAACGTACACGTTTGATTCAGTTTTAGACTCAAAATCATCTCAGGTTTGGAATTATTTCTGAAGTTCTTCATTATTTTGCATATTCAATTGCAATGAATACTTTATCCTACAGTCCTTTCTGTTTACCCAAATATCCTTATGAGGACATATGAACTAATTTAAGGCCATTTCAATAGAATCAAAATATAAGGATCAATGTTAATTTATAAATCTCTTGGTTCCATGATTTTAGGAGGATGTGTATCAATTAGTTGGCACCGGTTTAGTTAAGGATGCATTGGCAGGTTACAACACATCGATATTGGCTTATGGACAGGTAGTTTTGGCCGCGTAACTAATTTTGCTGCTTTCTTGTAATTGTGTATCGTGCAACTTCGGAAATAAAAGTTCTTGTTTGATTATTGTTAGACTGGGAGTGGAAAGACTTACACAATGTGGGGACCCCCCAGTGCAATAGTTGAAAATGGTCCATCAGTCAGTGGTCTTCAGGGCATTGTGCCACGCATTTTCCGGAGTCTCTTCTCTGAGATTCAAAAGGTAGATTATAGTTCTTCATCTGGTTAGAAAAGAAAAGTGATTATATGAATCCGACAATGACTGTGTATCTGTTTTACATTCACGAAGGAACAGGAGAATTCTGGTGGTAAACAGATAAATTATCTGTGCCGGTGCTCCTTTCTTGAGGTAACATTTTCATTTGTATATTTATTTAATGAAATGACTTTGGACTTTATATTACTGCATGGAGCAATTTATTATGGATGATCTATTGCTGCCAGGTGTACAATGAAAAAATCGGGGATCTGCTTGATCCGACACAGAGAAATCTAGAGGTGAATATTCCAGACAGAAAAAACATCAGCAGTTTTCCTGTTGATAGTGCTTAAGTGAGTTTGCATGTATATTTTATGGTTAACCCAGTATGGTTGAACTCTTCCAGATAAAGGATGATGAAAAAGTTGGATTTTATGTTGAGAATTTAACCGAAGAGTATGTCACCGGCTACGAGGATGTCGTCCAAATTTTGATCAAGGTAAAGTTATACATTTTTAGTTTGCTTTTACTGGACTTGCATTGGTGTCTATGTTTTAGTCATATCAATAGTTGCTTCCAGCAATTCTCTTCTATATTTTAGGATCACTTCAGATTACTTTATGGTGCAGGGGCTGTCAAGTAGAAAGGTTGGATCAACAAGTATAAATTCAAAGAGTTCAAGATCCCACATTATATTTACATGCATAATCGAGTCCTGGTGCAAGGTAATATTAGCAAAGGGCTATAGTTTCTTGTAGTTCTAAAAATTATCTAATTTTATGTGGTGTAGCAATCTTCCATTTTTTACCACATGGACAAAAAATACCTCTTTCACAGTTTTCTTCTTTTAATCTAAAGTTTTCCCTCTATATTCATGGCATTTAAGATACATAATAAGGAAAATTTAGGTAAATATTTGATTAATATATTTTTTCTTTCATCCAAGAGCAACAAACCTGTTAGAATGTAACCTTTTATTCTGAAAATTTCACTCAATCTAGTATGATTGGTATGTTTGGCATTCAGTTAAAATTTTTGAAATCAGTACTTTATTCATTTTCTTGCAATCCTCTCAGGAATCCTCGTCAAAGTGCTTTGGTAGTTCTAAGACTAGCAGAATCACCTTGGTAGACCTGGCCGGATTTGAGAGAAATGTGCTTGATGGTGCTACTAAAGAGAACGTGAAAGAAGGAAAATACATAAAGAAGTCCATGTCACAACTTGGGTATGTGCAATGAATATCTGGTGCTTCTTTTGATTCTGGTTATCTTCATTATTTATGGATTTCTGATGCTCTCCTTTTCCTTCCACCTTTTGCACTTTATATTTCCTTATATTACATTACTCTTAAACCAGTTAACAAAAATTAATTGAAATCTATATTATCCATCTTGTTTATGTCAAAAGCAATTAGTGCCCCAGGTTTGAAGCTTCCTGGAAGATGTTTTTGGTGTCAAAAATTTAATATTGTAGTGAATGAACAAATAACAAGCATATTGATGCTCTAAAATTCAAAGATAATTTTTGTAATACTTTTAATGATCCTTTAGAAATGTTTAATTATTGGTTCATGGTTGCATTTGAAATAACTAAATTTGGTAATATTTATTGATATCTCTGCAATTGGTGCAGGCACTTGGTAAATATAGTTGCAGAAATAAGTCACAATGGGAAATCTGAAGACGTTCCATTTAGAAGTTCCTGTCTAACTCATCTACTGAGAGAATCATTTGGCGGCAATGCTAAACTCTCCATTATCTGTGCCATTGCTCCGGATAACAAGTACTGAACTATATATCATTTTCCTTTTCATAAACAAATAAAGTAATAGACGTACTTTGGTCTTGGGGACCATGTTCTTTGACTGGATAACGATACTGGTGGTTGTGATTTTTTTTTTTAATCTTTTCCACTTAACTCTTGAGCACAATCAACTATAGGTAGGTAGGTAGGTTCTCATTGCTTTCATCAGGTAGCTGATCATACGTCACCATGTCATTTTTTCCCTCATCATTTTTCTCATTTTTCTTTGTTTTTTGTTTTGTTTATGTCAAGGTGCAGTGGTGAAACCTTAAGGACACTCAGATTCGCACAGAGGGCAAAGCTCATGAAGAATGAGCCTATAGTTAATTTAATAGCAGAAGATGATGTTAATGATTTGAGCGATCAGATTCGGCAGCTGAAGGTGAGCACCTTTTACATGTTCCTGATTTATTTTTGGTGGAGATACTCATTTAGTTTAATACGTTTATGTGTCCTTGATTTAATTCAGGAACAACTTATAAGAGCCAAGTTTAGTTCGTACAACTCATTCAGAAGCAACAGTGGACGTTCCAAAGGACGAAGTGCACGTGAAAGCTTGAATCAGTTAAGATTGAGCCTGAACCGTTCACTGATCTTACCTCAGATAGACAATGGTTCTAAAGAAGAATTATGCATCAATGAGGAAGATGTGAAAGAACTAGGACTTCAGATCGATAATTTGACTAGTTCTGAGAATGGAGAGTTCTCCCAATTATACTCTGCAGAGGGCAGTGAGGCAGACTTGACATGTGAACATTATTTAAGCTGTTCAGAAGAAAGTGAAAATGAAGAAATAAAGTCAAGAGTAACTCAAAGAGAATTGCTACGTCCAGATAATACTGTGTCTGTGCCTGACCCTGATAACCTTTCTAAGAAATCAATGGCCATCAATTCTACTTCAAGGAGGAGCCTGACAATCGGTGGAAGCAATCAACCTGCAGTCCTGGAAGATCCCGTGTTATCTGAGAGTCCAAAAATAAGCAATTCCCAAAGGAGAAGCACAGTTTTCTCATCAAATAATCTTCCCAAACAGGATGATGTGATAGAGTCTTCCAGAAATCAGGAAGTGTTACAGCAGTCACACCAACAATGTGATCAGAATAATTCCTCTTTAAGGTCAAGTAGAATGTTTCCAGGAACCACGGAGTCCTTGGCTGCTAGCCTGAACAGAGGCTTACAGATAATTGACTGTCACAAGAAGAACTCCGCTTCAACTAGATCATCTGTTTCCTTCTCTTTTAAACACTTGGCCCTCAATTCATGTCCATCAACCAATAAGGAAAATGCTTCTGTTCAAACCTTGCCAGAAGATGGACAATCATCTGGTGCACCATCTGCTTCATTTGTGTGCATAAAATGCAAGCGTGGAGGAATTGCTGCTGCTGATGAAATTGAGGATGGCTTGAAAACATGGATGGTACCAGTGGATAAGTCAGAAATTTTAGATGGATTGGCAACTCAAATAACCAAGGTTTGTCAGGATTTGCTCGTGACTAAAATCTGGGTTATATCCTAATCATTAACCTCACAGATTTTTGTCCTTGTTAACAGGGTACAGAGAATGATTTAGCTCTGGCCTTGGAGAGAGAGAGGGAGCTTGATAGCGTTTGTAAGAAGCAAGAAGCTAAAATTGAGCATCTAAACCAATTGGTAATATATTATTTTCCTGTTGTTAACTGTCTCACGTGCTTATTCAAGATGCCACAATTTTGAGACCCCGATTTTTCTACTGCAGCTTGAGCAATACAAATGCAAGAATGATCAGAACAGTGGATGTTGTAACTCTTCTAGTCTTTCTGACATGAAGGACCAACTGCCACCAATCTATGAGCATGAAAACGAGATATGCCACTCGCAAAATAGTCATGAGAAGGTTAGTAACTGTACTTGCTGATTCCTCATTTCATCTATGTCTACAGTTCATGTCCTTATGGATCTGTGGTTATTTGTTCCCAGCTTCTGGGATGGAGCAATGATGAGAATCATGAGCCAGAGTTTATAAAGGAGAAGTGTGAAATAAAAGAAGTCCATGAGGACATAGATCCTCGCATGAAGAAGTCTTTTGATGTGAAAGAGAGGGAGGCTTTTCTCAAGGAAATTGAAATTCTTCGAAGTCAATTGAAGTCATGCACTGAACCACCCGCAAACAAATCAACCGACAGGCTTAGATCCTCTTTGTTGTTACAATCTATCCAGTTGAGGAGAAGTAGCACATATGCTCAAGGTAATAATGAGGAAGAATTCGAGAAGGAAAGAGAAAGGTGGATGGAAATGGAGAGTGAGTGGATTTCATTGACTGATGAATTGAGAATTGATCTGGAGTCCATCCGTCAAAGAGCAGAAAAGGCAGAGATGGAATTAAGATTAGAGAAGAAGTGTACAGAGGAATTGGATGATGTACTAAAAAGATCTGTTCTTGGGCAGGCTAGAATGGTTGAACATTATGCTGAACTGCAGGAGAAGTATGATGATTTGGTTGGAAAGCATCGAGCAATTATGGAAGGGATAGCAGAGGTGAAAAGGGCAGCTAAAAAAGCAGGAGCTAAAGGTCATGGTTCTCGTTTTGCCAAGTCCCTTGTGGCAGAGCTTTCCACTTTGAGGGTGGAAAGAGAGAGGGAAAGGGAGTTATTGAAGAAGGAGAATCAAAGTCTTAAAATTCAACTCAAAGACACAGCAGAAGCTGTACATGCTGCAGGTGAACTTCTTGTTAGGCTGAGAGAAGCAGAGGAAGCAGCTTCAGTTGCTGAGGTAGGAATTAATTTTAATATTGTTATCCTATTGTCCTCGTTTTAAAATCTTAGCACGTAGTTTGCTGATTATTCCTTTTACATCTGTATAGGAGAAGAATACAGCAATACTGGAAGAAAATGACAAGCTAAAGAAACAGATAGAAAAACTAAAGAGAAAGCATAAGATGGAGATGATCACTATGAAACAGTACCTGGCAGGGAGCAGATTGCCTGAGGCTGCATTGCGTCCGTTATACAGGGAAGATTCCGACATAATGGACCATGATACAACCACACTGCAGCATGATGATGATGATCAGGCTTGGAGGGCAGAATTTGGGGCAATATATCAAGAGCACTACTGAGAAAGCATGAAATGAAGCTTATGGGGGCACTCAACAACAGTTACACTGCATTGAACCCTACTCGGGTCCTTGAAATGAGATGACTAACTTGACATCATCTGCATTTGTATTTTTATTTGCTTGGGTTGCTCAGCAATTTATTTTTTTAGTTATAAGTTTATTGATACCCTTATTTTTTAAATGAGATAGTCAGAATCTCTCTCTTTTGATACTTTTAGCGATAAACATTGATGTTTGATTTCTTCTTGATTGTTGCATTTTCAAGTCTCTCATTCAGAGAGAAAATGATACACACATTATTTGATTAGTCTAATCCAAGTTTGCACTAGTTAGAAATATTTCTGAACTTTTAAAAATTTTGAGACGTCGAGTTGATGGAAAGGATTTGTGTTCGAAATTCGAAAAACCCAACTACTAGCTAAAATTACATAAGTTAACCTCGATATAAAATCCCAGATTTTCAAATTTCATATTTCAATAAACTCCAACATTTATAGAATTAATTATTAAAAGATACGCCTTCACTAATACAGTGTTCTATAAAGAATTCAAGACTCTTATTAATACACTTTCACACCCACCTCGGCATTCAAGAATTGAAGATTCAGCTATTTTAGTGTCTATATTTTCCTCTAAAAACTATAAATTGCAAGATGTCTGAAGGTTTGAAACAAAGCTCGTCAAATCAAGTCGCAAGCGGTAAGGTCAGAAAGAAAGGCCACCGATACTTTTAACTTCTTTTCCGTCTTATAATATTATTTCATTCTCTTGATCAAATCATGTTATTATTTCAGATTAATCCTGTTGGAAAACGAGTCTTTGATAGAGAAAATGGCCAAAAGAACGTCCATAGAGTCCTTGGTGGTGGCGAAGTGGCATATGCATTACCTTTGATGCTTGCTCTAACTGTATTATTTGTCTGGTCAAGAGATGCCAAATTTATCGAGGCAGTCTTTATCCCAGAAGAGTCTGTATTGAAGTTGGCATCTTCTTTGAGGAACAAGATCAACGGTGCATTTGCTACTTTGAGTTACATTGCATCAGGAAGGAATGTGAAGAAGTTTTCCTTTGTGATATTTGGCTTGTACATCTTATCAATTTTGGGTAGTTACTATCATTTATTGACACTTTTTATATATAGCTACACCGCTGATCTTCACCGTGCCTCTCCTTCATGAGAAATACGACGGTCCTGTAGCCTCTTTTGTGACGAAGAACAGATTTTTCAAGTTTAAGCAAGGTAACGAGAAGATGACACAAGAGGACTAAGTTTGAGTGTCAACAAGTTCGATATGCACTACTGAATAAATTTTATGTAAAATAAAGAAATGAAATATAAACTTCCTTTCTTTCCACGTTAAGTAGTCTCAAGCCCGTAATATGTTGTGCTGATTGTATTTCTTGATTTATATATATATATATGTAATTACAAACTTTAACCTTTAAAGTCAATAAAATTAATTCACTTTCTACTCTATTGATTATGCTTTATTTTGTAATTTTACCAAATTTGAGATTTATAATAGATATTCATTTTCTTTCATTTAAAATAACTATTGCGAATACATTAATTTCGGAAACAAATAAATTCACTTCTCTAAGAAATGTTGTTACGCAAATAACACTAGCTAGTTAACGACCCGTGGTTTATTATTTTTTCTAATTAAATGTTGGCATGCCAACGGGTGATTATTAAATCTATCATAAAACTTATCCAAATTGGTATTATTTTACTACAAGATTTTGAGATTTATTTTCTCCTTTAAATAAGATATTTATTTCCAAAATAAACAAGCATATCTTTACCCTTATCATATCAATTAACTTGATTTTTCCGTTTTTGAGATGGAATATTCCTAGAATTCTATTTTTTAACCGATATAATTTCCTTATGAATCACACCATTTTCATCATTTCCAAAAAAAAAAAAAAAATCAACACTCTATTTAAGTTCCAAAAGAATGAACATTTCTTTTATTTTAGTTCAAACTTTAAAAAAAACTTTGTTGAATAAATCCCGTCAATGGCACCTTGCAAATGGATTCGTTCATTTAAGGAAGACAATTCAGCATTCATGGTATTGTATTTTGCCTCTATATTTCATCTGTATTTTCCATTTTATATAAAAAAAATTCATACTCTTTTTGTTTTTTTCTTCAGTCTTGTATTCTGAGAGTAAATGTACACAATACGGGATGGCAAAAGGCAGTCAGGGGTGTGCTATCCAGTAGCCGAGGTACAAAATAATTAATTTCTTACAAAAACACTTATTTTCATGATATACTGATTTTTTTGGTGTATATCGAATGAAGGAGTACGTAGTTTCAAGATGGATGAGTACGGCGTTGTGCACGTGTCAGGTTTGATTGATCCAAAATTACTTATGAAAAAGTTGCGAAAAGTTGGAAGACATGTAGAATTATGTTGGTTCCAATATGGACAATGTTCGAGCAACTTATTTTTGCCGAACCATGATAATCCATATGGTTACCGGATGAGCAGTTACGATGAATATGGTCGTTATTTTCCTTTCCGACAAGCATTTCAAGACGCTTGTTTAGAATCGTCGTACGTGCATTCGCCACCGCTAACAGTCCCGCCCATGAGCTTCGAAAGCAGTGGATGTTGCACTATCATGTAAAAATGGGATCAACTTGGATCAAAAACCTAGGATCTAGGATGAAAAAATGTTCTTTTTTAATGATTTTTTTGTCCTAATGAATCCAAGTAGGGTGTCTGAGTCTTTAGGCATACCAATAATTTCTAATTATGGTTTCTTTAGGTGGATTGACCGTATTGCCATGGAAAAAGGGAGTGTTTCTAGCTTCACATTGACTAAAGTTTTCTTTTCAAGTATTGATTCTCTACTTCTGTTTGAAGATTATTTTTGAACCTATCTTGCATACACTATTTAGATTCTGTCTTCAGTTTATCACTCTTGTTTGTAATAGAAATATAACCAGTCTCAGTGTGAAAATATGCCGATCGGCCTGCAATGTTCTAATTCTATCACGGTATGAACCATGTTTTGTGGGTCGGTCCAAGCAGCTTGTATTTACGAAAGAAAATTCTACATGCCCAGCATGGCCAGGCACTCGCTGAGCTCATGTAACATGCGACTGTCAGGCAGTGCCTAGCCACGAATGGTCGACACTAGCCATCTCAAAATCAGTTAGCACCGTTCAATTTACACCTCTAATCTATCTCCATTGAAGTTCCTGTGATGTATATTGAGGTCATTAACATATTGGGAGAATACCAACAGCAAAAAGATGAAAATGGGAGCCGCAGACAATTTACATTTTGAACTTTTAATCTGCTGGGAGCTGTAAGTTGACTCTTTTCTTCTTTTCCCAATGGAAAAATCAAGTACCCGAAGAACACGTTATGTTGCAAATTTTCTTTTATGCCATCTTAAAAAACAGTACCATTACATTTGATTAAAGATGTCTTTAGACATTTGTTGTAGCCATGTTAAGGGTCGACCCCAATAATCCCACACATGCCAAACTCTACAATACTGAACATGATTAAGAATGCATGCCGAAAAAAGAATCAAGTCAACATCTGGCCAGTAATCGATGAAACAACAGAACATTTTATCTGTTTCTTACACAAATGAAGTTTTGAAGTCGTCAAATACAGAACCACCTGTAAATTAATGAATTGTGATATTTTGTTTAAACAGGAGCCTAGATGGCTAGCTCTCTCCTATTACTACACGCTACTAAATCAAACTCAACCTCACATACAATTTAAGAAAAATGCGAATCCCAGGAAAATAGGAAAAAGTTTGCCAGTAATCAGAGCCGGCCAAAATTAAACAAGAAAAAGAATACAAAAAATAATTCTCTATCTTCTTTATGCTTTACCCGTGGTACAATCTTGTTGAACAGGAGCACAACAGATTAACTAGAATGGATTCTCCAAAATATATCCCGCAATCTGATTAACATCTCAGTCTAAATTGATGAAGGAACCAAGGTCATTTTAAAAAACCAAACCTCAAATCTTCATGACATCCTTGATACTGCTCTCTGTGAACGTGTCTAAACTGAACCAACCCCTGTTAGCTGCGTATATTGACATCATTATAAGCACAGAGATGTATACATATAAGAGGGGTACGTACGAAGTTCACAATCCAAGTGTTTTCTGAAGTCACGTCTCCTAAATTATCTTTAGATTTTTAAATACTGATACTTCCTAAGCAGCAATTCCTGAAGAAAGTCATGGAGAAAAAATCATCAAAATGAATTCAGAGGTATTATCATTTATCATCTCAATTATTCACTAAATTTCTAAAACAGCAAGTGGTATTTGTTAAATGGACGATATGATTTATAAGGCTCTGTTTGACACTCATTCTCATTTTTCATTTTTTTTTCTTTCTTTATTTCAACTACACATTTTCCAAATAAAATAATATTACACACAAATCTAAAACTTTTCATTATTTTTCAACCACATATTCTTCCATCAATCACTATTACAGAATTCATTTGTTCCCCAAAATGGGTGTCAAACACAAGCTTAAGCTTATTTATTTCGTCATAATTATTTTTTGATAGGAATATTTCTGCAGAATTATCATAGGACTAAATGGGACATTGCCTCGTATATGTCTCAAACTTTGATGCACGTTGCATTTTCCTAAAATGAAAAGCCGAGGAAAAATGCAAGAATCAACCTCCCCTAACCATCTGTTCAGATTATGTACCTTTTGTCAATGTTACAAGGAAAAAGAAAACTAAAAGGAAAGGGGAAAACGTCGCTTCCCTAAACGGTGAGAAAAATGAAAAAAGGAGTGGACGACTCACAACTATACTGATATTTTAGTTGTTAAAATTATATTTTACATATAAAAGCAACTGAGGACTTTTATCAAATCCTGAAGTACTTGGTATCATTGACCAATTTAATGGTAATTTTTTATATTATTATCCCCAACAAGTGACTGAAACTCAAATACTATTAAGGTTCAAACTTTCAAAGAATTCTAACAGCAAAAATTACAACTACTGTTTTTTGCATTTTTTTTTAGTGAAATTCCTCCTAGCACATAAAGCAAATCCTAATCGCACACAAGTGCCTTCGTCATACTATCTATTTTAGATAACATTCCTTAAGAAAAAAGGCATCTTGTTTCTGACGTGTATTTTTAAATTCTGAAAGGACCTTTTTGATATGTGATTCAAACATTAATTATTGTTATCATAATTATAAGCCAAGCACAATTGTAGGTAGTTAATTTATTCTGATGATAGCAACATATAATGTTTTATCACACCCATATACAACAAAATTAATTATGACCAAGCAGGTTAGCATAGATATTTAAGGTTATTGAATGATGAACATGGGGAAGAGAACAACTAATATATCAATTTTAATATTTGTTTCACAACTTAACGAAAATGATACAAAAGTTATTTCATCTTTTTTGAACTTTGATGCTTTCGAGCAATACTTGGTTGAATAAAATATTTTCTTAAACTTTGACTATTTAGAAATTTGTTATTTTGAGATCTGTTCCCCCACTTAAGCTAGACAAAGATTTGCATTAACAAAAAATTCATCTAGTTTTTATAGAGCATTACAAGTTTTATAGCGTTAAGAAATATGTTAGCTACTATAGCATGAAATATTGCATAATAGGACAAACAGTTTTTACCTCCAGTTGATTGTCTACTTGCAATATCATAGCCCATCCCAAAATCATCAGAATCTTTAACAGTGACATCTTCTGAATTTGCCAGTCCATAACGAATTGAACCTGAATTATCTAGCTCAGAAGACATAGTCTGCCAAGTTGGATCCCCGTACACTGACCGACTATGGTAAAAGTCCCCATAAGATCCTTCATAATTACCACTAGATGTGGCAAATGAAGATGTTGTGGCCACACCCGTGCCACTGTTCCTTCCAAACCCTCCTGTTCCCAGTGCATAACTGTTTTGTCCACCTCTGTAGCCAACATTCCCAACAGAGTAGCCAGAAGAACTTCTCCCGAGTGAGGCAGCTATAGGAGAAGTTCCCCTGTTTGCACCATTATTTCCAAAGACTCCAAAGCTGCCACTTTCGGAACCAAAGAATGAACCAGAGCTAGTATTAGTTGTAGAAGTGTTAAGGGCACCATTTCCCCACAAATTTCTTGATGACATATTGTATGAGGAAT